TCGTGTAGACCATGTTGAAGTCCCCTCTCCCCATAGTGGCAGGGCAACGGAAACAAACCTTCAGGGGGACAACTCAGGTCAGCAAACATGATTTGTACATGTTCTCAAACCCTCGTAATGACTGTGATAGCTCTTGACAAGTCAAAACACTGGTTTCCATACCTCTATAGCTACCGTTGGTATTTGTCTTGAACCAACCTCACTGTGTGAGACAGGGGGGTCTGTGCACACTTCCACCTTCATTCAAACATGTGTGTGTTTTACCCTGCCCCTTGAAAATTGAATCTCAACAGGGACCCTCCCAACACAAATGCTTATCAGTGGAAAGCAACCCGATTCGACTGGCAGGCCTCTTCGCATCCTGGATGGCGGGTCAAATTCAGTGCTTGGCCCAGAAACTCAAGCTGACCGTGTGGAAAGTATATACCTGAGCGCAGGCAATTCAACTGCTTCCCCGAAAAGCGTAGAGCTAGTTCTGACAATTGTAAGGTTATGTAGTTGACAAGGTGCTTGTCCATCATTTTCGTTGCAAATGCCAGTTCTGGCCAACTCGTTCAAATCATTCACAGCAGCCCGGAAGAAAGCTTGAAGGGATAGGTTTTCGCTTTGCGATCGGTTGATGGCGTACCGGGAAACGGGAAATGAGAAAATGATGTGCCGCGAAGCCTTCGAGTCAGTCCTCACCAAAGACACATCCACCATCCTTAGTAGATTTCAGCACCCTCTTTCAAAGCAAAACCAAAAACTTTCAGGTTGGTGGTCCAAGTAAACAACAAACGAAAGACTTTGAAAATGCCTCCCAGCCTCCAACTAAACAGCATCCAGCTGTTGTTTCCCTTTGTCCCCTCATCCCCCCACAAGACAATTGGTATTGCTCTTTTCCACTGTTGTTCTCGGCCATGAAGGGGATGCTGTGGAAAATCTTGAAGGATCTGTTTCCAGTACAAGGACAAGCAATCAGGAGGAATCACAAAGTCCAGAAATCCAACGTCCATCAGGGCCCTTGCAAGAACACTAGGGTACATAATCGGCATGCTCCCAATGTACAAGTTGCTGTCCTCATCACGCATGGGCGCATCAATCCATGAGGGTTTTGCTTCCAGGGCGAGACCAGCACGAAGAAGCCGCGAATGAAACTCTGTCTCCCTAAGAGGCCTTGAGGCATACCCTTGTAGGTGCTGAGATTCATAAACGTTTCCTTAGTTGACATGTTTCTGGGGTTTTTGATGGCAAACTTGAAAGAAGTAATCGAGCGGCCGAGGTCACAAGCGAGAGCAATGCTGGCGTCTCCAGAGCAGGCAGCTTGGGTGATCCTGGGCAGGGCCAAGGAGGCGCGAAACCGACACTCGCTTTAAACCAAGTCACCTTTTGTCCAGGGCGTCTCTCAGCTTGCACGCTCCACAGCTCGTACCTGCGTTTCCAATTTAGACCCTGTTGGCTCTAGAAAAAAACATCACCAATCAGAAACCAAGATTGTTGCATCAAAGCTCAGCTTGCCCTTTTTCCAGCTTGCGCCAACGTGCCGTAATTGGACCAAACCCCAAAGCGGCAGAAGCCAAGAGATGTTGCCCGCATCCCATTCATGTGGTAACTCCTGGCTAGTGCGCCAACCCCTGATTTGCAAGCCCAGCCTTTTGGCGGCCAGGTTCCTAAACTTCACTCTGCTCCAATTCCCGCAGTGCAAATTTCAATCTTTCAGTAGTTCTGTGTAGCTAGTCCTTTTCCTCAAGGGGGCATCGCAATCAGCAATCAACTTGTATAGGCGTTTTTGAGGTCAGGGTTACTGCAAATAAGTGATTAACAAATGAATGCGGGATTCAAGCAAGGCTACTCAAAGCTACATTGTCTTGAGCTCATTCAGCATCCCCTTGGCTTGGCCCTTCGTCATCTTCAAAGCTGAAACCTTGGCAAAGCGGGATGTGATTGTACACAAAGGGTGTTTTGTGTGTGTGTGTGTGTCGTGGGTGTGTGTGTGTGTGAATGTGTCTTGGCCCCATCCAAAAATGCTTCAAAGGTTCCGGTTTGGGGAATCATCCCAACATGTTTCAAAGGGTTTGAGTTTGGGGTTTGGAGCCACCCCAAAATAATTCGAAGGGTTCAAGTTTGGGGTTTGAAGCCATCCAAGATGAGGGTCCAAGTTTGGGCATCCCACAATGTTTCAAATGGTTCGAGTTTGAGGTGTCTTCCCAAAATGTTGGAAAGGGTCCAGATTTGGGGTTTGAAGCCATCCACAATGTTTCAAAGGGTTCGAGTTTGAGGTGTCTTCCCAAAATGTTGGAAAGGGTCCAGATTTGGGGTTTGAAGTCATCCCACAATGTTTCAAAGGGTTCGAGTTTGAGGTGTCTTCCCAAAATGTTGGAAAGGGTCCAGATTTGGGGTTTGAAGCCATCCCACAATGTTTCAAAGGGTTCGAGTTTGAGGTGTCTTCCCAAAATGTTTGAGAGGGTCCAGATTTGGGGTTCGAAGCCATCCCAAAAGGTTTCAAAGGGTTCGAGTTTGGGGCTTGCGGCAAAACTGAAATAGTATCTGCACCGCTAAAGGGTTGCGGGTTCCCTGGTTTCTGAGGGCAATTCAATTGACAGTCAAATCTTGCTAGGGGGTTCACGCAAACAAGAAGGGCACCTGCAAGCAAAAGAAAAGAAGGACCCTGACCCTTTGACTGAGCCATTTGCATGGCAAGTAGCCTCTTGTGCGATCTCCGTGCAGGCAGGCTCCATCTCCTGGAAGGTTTTCAGGTCTTTGAACCTGGGAGGGAGCAAGGGGAAGCAACCTCGGCCTTGAGGCTGAACCAGTTTGCAAGCTGGGCCACTGCGAGGCAAGCGTTTTGAGGGCTCGCTGATGCCGTGTGAGGGTCTTCGTCAACTCGCTGTCCGAGGGCATGTCGACCAAGAAGCCGGCAATGTCTTTCAATTCTTTCTTCACTTCGTTGCCTTGGTTTCCAACTTAACTCAGCATTGTTTGGATCAAGGGGCCCAAGCTCTGAGTAAAAAAATAGGACCCCTGCTCCAGCGCTGGTGCTTTTCTTTCTCCGTGTTGAAGGTTTGTTCAAGCAACGGCTTCTTGGCGGTGGATCGGCTGATGGCTGACGGTGCTGACTTTTTGCTTTGGCCCTGGCCTGATTTGTTGGTCCGCGGTGCACCTTGCAGGATTCAAGCTGACAAGTGAAAAGTTGCAAGTTTCCAAACCACCCCAACTTGGCCTTCATCGGCAACAAGGGACTGGAGTTGCTGATTGTAGTTGTCATAGGCCCTCAAAACATCCCCAGATAGCGGCGCCGAAGGTGACCGAATTGGAGCCCTCTCGAGGGAAGGGTTCACGCCAGTGCCCATGATGCTGGTCAAAGCATGCGAAGCGCTTGTTCTCATACTCATCGACTCCTGCATCCTGAGATGAGCAATTCAAACATGAAACGATCAAACGTTGATAACTTCGACTATAGTGAGCATGAGATGGATCCAAGCGTCTTCACCGCCACCGTGTCTGTCCGGGCAGTCCTCATCCTCAATGCCCCCTCCTTTGCTTATGATGGCGGCTATCTTGCGCCTCAGATGAGTTCAACCCCTAGTGGCATGCAGCAGTTCAAACCATAAACATGAAACCAAACATTGGATGCACAAGTAGCCTCAGTTCAGCAAAATACTGAAGTTCAGATGAAGGGTCTGCGAAAAGTTCCATGGGGCATTCTTCATGTCCTTAACTGGGACCAGGGCGTACCTTTTCTTACCCTCCAGCTCCTGTGTCTTCGAAGCCTCCAGCTTGCCCTCACAGGCCTCTATGTTCTGCCCGTTGCGCACGAACTGCTGAAGCAGCTTCTGACGATCCTCGGCAGACACAGGGAGGAAAAAGGGAAGGGGTACAGGGTTGGGCTGCAACTGAATCCGAAAAACTTTCAGAGACCCATTGGCAAGCTCATGGCAGTTCGGATACCCATGGGCCACGGCGCCGTTGTTGATGAGCCGGGTCTTAGGTGGCGCATCACGAAACCTCACTTGGCAACCCAATTTAAACCAACCATTGACTGAGGTAAGCACCAACTTGGCGTATTCTTTGCGATGGGTCGAGGAGTTAACCATAGTGCGCAGGGCTGGGCTGGCCGCGCGGAATGGCCGAGACAGATTGGGGCACGGTTGCAACATGTGTTTCCGTAGGCGAGGGCGGGGCTGGCTTGGCTGCTGGTGGCGCCGGCTCTTCTTGGGCGTCGGGGATCTGGGAAGGGGACAGCGCCAAAGTTTCCTGTGTGTCAGGGGTGTCAGGCTGACGGTCAGGCAAAGGGCTTTGCTTCTTGCGCTTTTTGGTGCTTTGCTCCGGGGTTGATTCAACCACCGAAATTGGTGTGGTTCGCTTTGCCGTCTGCTCATCCACGTTGGTCCCAACGTTTGACGCTTTGACAGACACGCCCTCCAAATGCTCCTGGAGCAAACCAATCAGCACCTTGATCGGTTCCTCCCCAAGTTGGCTCGCAGAAGGGCCAAGCTTCCTTGGTTCCACAAACAAGTTGTTCTAGATGTGGCCCCGGTGTCCCAATATAGTTGAATACAAGTTGCTCTTCCAGCTCATGCTTGGTCAAAGACTTCTGGGAGAGGACCGACTCAGCAACGGTTTTCACAGCTTCCAGTTGCGCTTGACCGGCTTGCAACGTTCTGCATGACCTGGGCAAAAGGGAAACGTGTATATATAGCACAGGATACCCACGTGTTGTTCCAAACTTTGGTTGCATGTGACCACCCTTTCAAATTTTGGGACCCCTGCTAGAGGTTTAGGGCAGCCCTCCGGTCCATGATTCATGAGTTGTGATTTTCTAGCCGTAAAGGGACAAAACCACGAAACCAGCACTAAAAAACAAAAACACAAAACCAGCACTCAACCCCTAAACTTGAACATTGCCTGATTCATTGGTTCAGGAAGTAGATGGAACGGAACATGTATGAAGGCACCATGGAGTTTCCACACCCCAAACTCGTCCCAGTTGTCAACCTATAAAATCCCCCTAGCCCCGAAACCTATCCCAGAACTATTTCCAAAGAACTGTCAGGACTGTCAGGTGGCCACAAACTCTGCTGGGTGTCCGCAGAATCATCCGGATCCACCTTGTCCTCAATCGCCGGCAACTCGCTCAGCGCAAACACCTTAGACTTGCCCCGCTTCAGCGAAAGCTTGTTTGCCTGGTTCTTCTCTAGGACAGCCTTCGTGCGGGCAGCCGGCGAGTCCTTCGCCAGGGCCTTTGCCGGAGCTGCCTTCACCTCCGCTGTAGCCTCCTGCGTGGCAGACTCATCCTCGCTAGCTGAAGACGCAAACGCTTTCCCCTTGTCCTCGCCGAACAGCTCCTCAAGCAGCTCGTCACCCTTCTCAGGGGCTGCCTTTGTCTTTGGCTGGCTGGGGGCAGACCCAGATGCTTTCTCACCTTTCTTTGACTTCTTCGGCGCCGGCTCCACCTCCTGAGCTTTGGCCTTCGCCTTGCCTGTCGGCGCCACCGCCTCATCTCCTTCGGCCTCAGCAGCTTTCTGAGCTTTGGCCCTCGTCTTGCCTTTCGGCTCCACCTCGTCTCCTTCATCCTCAGCAGCTTTCTGAGCTTTGGCCTTCTTGCCTTTCGGCGCCACCACCTCATCTCCTCCGGCCTCAGCAGCTTTCTGAGCCTTGGCCTTCGTCTTGCCTTTCGGCTTCACCACCTCATCTCCTTCATCCTCAGCAGCTTTCTGAGCTTTGGCCTTCTTGCCTTTCGGCGCCGCCGCCTCATCTCCTCCGGCCTCAGCAGCTTTCTGAGCCTTGGCGTTCGTCTTGCCTTTCGGCGCCACCGCCTCATCTCCTCCTCCAGCCTCAGCGCCTCATCTTCTCCCACCTCAGCTGCTTTTGCTTTGCCTTTGGCTTTCGCCTTCGTCTCCTCGCCGGCCGCGTCAACCAGCTCCTGCAGGTGCTCCATCACTTCAAGGGCATCTTCACGGCTGAGCTGCTCCTGATGCATGAGTTGCTGTAGATCGCGCTCTTCTTCCCTGCTCAGCTTCATCGACGGCATGGCCACAGCCAAGCCAAGGGGCACGCCTTCAAACTGAGCCTAATTAACACACACACAACAACACAAGAGTTGGCAAGCCACCCCTTCAAATTCTCTCAATTCAAAGTGACCCGACCAAGCGCTCCATGTAGGGCCTTTAAACATGTGATTGGTTGTGTGAAATTAGGTGAAATTTATTTCTACGAATTCTACGAATTTTAAAGATCAAATGCACACATTTAGAGGCCATTTGCACACATTTCTACGGATTTCTACGCTGCCGGTCCCACCGATCTAGCCAGGGCTCACATCTGTAGAAGGCACTTTCAACCCCATGTTCCTCAGTTGAAGGGAGAATAAGACTCAATATCTGGGACCCCCACAATTGCAGCCCCACTTTCAAAGCCAAGTCACTTCCGAAGGGAATTGCATAGGATCTCCTGGGCACGGGCAAGAAACAGGAGCAGCTGAACATTCAAGAATCCACATCGTTGGGGTATTGGGTTAACATGAGCTGTTCTCAAGGACAAATGGGAATGTAGTTGCGGACCTTTCCTGAAAAAAAAAAGAATGTTCAGCCGAGAATTTGAAAAGATTGTTGAACTCACGGGCCCTTAATTGCACAACACCACAAGGTATAGCAAAAAGACACCGGCTTTTTTTTTGAAAAGGGCATGTCTTTTTTATAGGCTCCCCTAACCGTTCAGCTTTGCTACAATTGAAGTCCAAAACAAGGGAATGCTTCAAGCGCAACGTATTTGGGATTTTGTATGTGGGGGGGGGGGAGGCATCCAACTAGATGTTCAAATTCCTTTGTGCGGGGTTGCCTGAAACTGGAAATCCCATGTCGCCTGGCAATTTCATGTTGAGTGCGATGAGTATTTGGGAACTTTGGAGTAGTCAGGGCCCAACACAGGTGAGGGTAAAAGTGACCTAAAAGCAGACATTTAAAGACAATTCTTTGCACTCCAACCCTTGCAGCCTGATGCCAGCCAAATCGAGGCAGCCTTGTTTGGCGAACATGCGTTGGGAGGGGAGGAGGGAACTCCTAAACCTGCTCCATACAATGCAAGGAGAACTCAAACATCTTGAGGGCCCTTAAGACGATTTGTGGATCAAAGCACCCCTACTTCCCAAAACCTTAGCCCCTTAACTTCTGACACACCCACAAGCGCACAGCCTTTTTTTACTTCAGGCTCAGTCTGATGCGTGACCTCCGCGGCTTACCAGCCTGCCCACTCATCCCACCTGGACGGGTAGCTCCTCCACGCCGTGTAGGCATCCTCCATCCAGCCACCGTAACGGTCCCACATGCCTTTCCCCTTTGCTCCCTTTCCCTTCGCCACGCCGGCCTTGGCAAAGACTGTGTCGCCACCACCGCCGCCCGCCAGGAACGTGGCCACCTCAATCTCCGGACGCGTGCCTTTGAAGAACTCGCCCTTGCCCTTGCACATGCCCTTCGCGCCCTTGAGCTCACCCTTGCCACCGTTGCCCTTATTGAAATCGCCCTTGACCTCACCCCTCACCGAGCCCTTCAACTCGCCCTTCAACTCGCCCTTCAACTCGCCCTTCTCGCCCTTCAACTCGCCCTTCTCGCCCTTCAACTCGCCCTTCTCGCCCTTATCGCCCTTCTCGCCCTTATCGCCCTTCTCGCCCTTCTCGCCCTTCTCCCCCTTCTTGCCCACGCCTCTCAACGCTCTTGAGCTCGACTTTCACGCCCTTGACGGCGATCTCCTGCTCGGGCTTCTTCTTCTTGACCTCCGGTGGCAGCCTCAAAGCCAGTCTCAACTGAACACTTTCACAAACACACACAAGCAAAGGTAAGCCCCTGGCAGAAATCCACTAGCTTCACACAGGTCCATGCTATACGGGGAATACTGTATATCCAGAGCTGAGCCAAAAGCTTGTTCCTAAGTTGTCTCAACAAAAACGAAACGGTCACCGCTCTGGGCCTCTGCAACGGTTTGAGTCAAGCTTCGGCTCTAAGAGCTGCAGACACTTCCCCAGCTCCAGCGAACAGCTCCAAGTACTGACTTTCCTGCGGGGGAGCAACCGCAATTTAACCCTCCCCTCAGCCCTTGAATCTCACGCCAATCAGCTTGGATAATTGCAACAGTCCTCGGTCTGGCTAGCAAAGGGTAAGAAACCAAGAAGGACCCACACAAGGATCAAACTCTTTGGCGCCCCCCATTGCAGGAGCTCGCCCACCACCATTGGAGGATCGACACGGCTAGGCCGGGCACGGTCTCGGGCAAACTGCGTCAGCAGAGCATGTTGCACATTCCCGGCCCTGGAAAAAAGATGTTTAAGTACTTGCCCACAAACTTGATTGGCTCTTTTTCTGGGTCTCAAACAAATACACTGCAGCGTCCCCTTTGCACACGCAACTGCACACTGCAATCTCAGACAAACACACCCTTTTCAGCAAGTGACCTCCATTATGACTTCAGCAGCAAGGACTCCCCTGCTCTGACCCCGGGTTGGTTTAAACCACCTATTGCACTTGCGCAGTAAATCGTCTGCGCTTGAGCTCAGCAGGGGAGAGGCCTTCCAGAAGCTTGTTCCTCTCCGCGCTGCTGTTCCAAGCAGCTGACGCTTCCGCAAACGGGACCCCTTGACCTGAATTTCTTTCGAGCTTCAGCGTAGGACCCTGGGCAGTAGGCCCCTGTAGGCTTTGGCTTGGGCTTGGTCTTTGGGCACGGCTTCTTCGTCGCTTGCTTTTTCTTTTTGGAAGTCACTTCTTCCTCACTACCCTCTCCTTCGCTTCTTCCACCTGGGATGCCGCGCTGCCTACCCTCAAACCCGAATTTCCATCTAATTTGTCAGGGCCGGCAAGTGGGAAGCACCGGCTTGGGCGTAGAAGAGGATGTGAATGCCTTTAAGCTTTCCATGACCTAGAAACAGAACACATTGAATGAACCCGGTTCTGAAATAAATCAGTTGAGGCCCAAACAGCATCAGGGACCATCTTGTCTTTTGGTTTCTCTTTGTTCGGCTTCAACGCCAGCAAGGCTTTGCCAACCTCCGAAACAGCACAGGCAGCCCCTTTCTGCTCCCTTTCAGCGGAGCGCACCATCCGCACCATCAAGGAGGCCATGTTGTGACTCTTTGGCACAAAGATGATAACTTTATTTGGCTCAAAAAGGAAAAAAAGTTTCCTGTGAGGAAACTTAGCAAAACAACCCAACTTGAGGCCGATTGAACTCTGTTTATGTTTGCGGACACAGCTGGACTCATTATGTCATGGCTGTGCAGTTGACATTTTTGAGAGTTGCTTGACCGCATTTTTCTTTCAAGGTGTGGGTGGGTGGGACCCCCTTTGCATCAATGCATGCTCTGCTAATTTTCAGCATAGGGGGTTGCAATGGCCTCGGCAAGTGATGAGGCGCTTGTGCTGGACTCAAATGTGGAATCGTTGCCTGTGGAAGTGTCAGATGGACTCAATACAGGTTTTCCGCAGTTTGATGCAGCTAACAGACAGGATGATCATTCTCATGACTTGAGGCTTCTGCAGAACTATGAACGTTTGCATGCTGTCAACAGGTCATGGATGCAACTGAGTCAACAGCCGTTGAGACAGTTTTGGGAGACGGGCTTCTGGGAACAGATCTTTGACGATGGTCAGGGCGAGACTCCTTTGCTCAGTTCATTAACACGTCCTGCTTTTGTGCCTGACCCGGTGGTGTCTTCAGCAGATGCAGTTTCTCAGTCGAAGGTTGTTGCGGGCGAGGGCTACTTCGTTCCTTGAGGTGGTCTCCAGTTCCACTGTTCAGTCATGGCAGGAGCAGCGTGACGCGACATGGGAAACTGCAATCAGAAGGTGGCACAGTTGCATCATGTCTTGGAAAGGTACCGACAACTTGATCGGGCTTGTTCAAGCGGGGAGTGAGTTTCAATCTCAATGTCAGATCATTGTGGACGTGCTGCGCAACAAGGCTCCTTCCACGTTGCTCAAGAGGTGTAACAGCATTTCACGGTTGGTCAATGATCTACTGGGTCGTGGCTTGGATTTTCCTTGCAGTGAGAATGATCTTTATGAGCATATGTGCAGAGAGAGGAGTGCGCATGTTAAGCTGTCCAGGTTGAAATCACTCATGGAGGCAGTGACGTTCGTGCGTCATGTTTTCAATATTGCGTCCTTGGAGGGTGCGACGAAGAGCAGGCGATGCATGGGCGTGGCTACTGCCAAGCAGCCTACTATTGTGCATCAGGCCCCTCCTTTGCGTGTGTCCCACTTATTGGCGCTTCATTCTATTTTGGATTGCAGTGACGATGCCTGGAATGTTTGCTTTTGCGGAATGGTATTATTCTGTGTATATGGAAGGGCGCGTTGGAGCGACGCCCGACACTCGCAGTCGGTTCTATGGGATGAGGACACTGAGGGCGAGATTCAATTTGTGGAATGCTCCACAGCTGTGCATAAGACGTGCAGGGCCCTCAGTATGCGGCACATGTTTCTGCCTTTGACTGCACCAGCGCATGGTGTTTCTCGTGGCAACTGGGCTCAGCGTTGGAAGTGGGCAAGAGGCGAGTTGGGAGTTGAGGACTTGAATGCCAGCGCCTGGTGAGGATTTGAAGCCAACTGCCAGGCCGTTGTCCACTGCAGAAGCCGCCAGGTGGCTGATTATGCTGCTGGAGCAATATCGGGATGAGCAAGGTGGACCTGAGCCGCTGGCTTACACAAGTCACTCTTTCAAGGCCACCTGCCTCTCATATTTGGCAAAGATGGGTTGTGACTTTAACGACAGATTAGCACTTGGCTATCACGTTAACCACATTTCCATGGCGTTGCGGTACAGTCGCGATGGAGCTTCTCGTCCCCTTAGGGTTCTGGAAGACTGTTTGCGAAATATCCGGGAGGGAAGTTTCAGGCCGGATGAGACCAGGAGCGGACGGTTTGTTTCTGTTCCCTTGAGGGAGCCGGAGAGTCCTGAAGTCGTGGAGTAGAAGGTGGAAACCATAGATGTTGGTTCTGATGCTGCGACTGAGGGTCAGGCCGATGCTTTGGAAGTTGCAGAAGA